AACGTCACACCTTCTTAGCCGTGTTGTGGGGAGGAACACAATCCGGTATGGGTGGTTGGTGGTCCGATAAGAACCACCTGCGTGTGTCACGGTGAAATTAACCATCAATTTCGATTCACCTTGACTTATGAACAGCTCGAATTGGCTGACCAATTCTTTCTTCACTGTACCAGCAATCATATCTCCCTGAAAGACAATGTGAAAACATAAAAAAGAATGAGGATATGTCTTTAAATAATGTAATGACAAAAGTATTTTATGGTTTACGAATAGAGAGAAAGAACAAAAGGCTTACTTTAGAATCAACAAAGACCATTTCCATGGTCTCCCCCGCAACAGCAGAATACTGCTTCCACAGACGAATCACCTTAACTCTGATTTTCCACATTGATTTGAAAGGCTTCAAGTCGCTAATAAAATCTAAGCCAGCCATATCTGCAGAAATTTTGAAATTCAACACAGAGAGAAGTGAATGAAGAAAATATGATAGGTTTGATGGGGTACATTCTACGTTCTTATATAACCTTGAATGTAATCAATCCATAAATGCGATTGATTACTATAATTCATTGAGCATACAACTTACACGGCAAGTAGCATTAATTAGCAAAAAATCAGTAACCCAAAAATGGAAGCTAATATAGCTCAAAATCCTAGATTCGAGCATATTTAGGATCCTTGAAATTCGACTTATTGCGTTTACTATGGCAATCCCAACCAAATAAAGAAAACAGGTCAAGGATTGGTTGATTACATATAACTCTCCCTAATTTGCTATTCAATTTCCCTAAAATAATCCAAAAAATATTCCCTGCGAGTTTATGAATTGATACACAAGATATTAAGCATTAATATCCAGAGAATTTATATATTCGATAATCCCTATCTAATTTCATATAATTCAGTTCTACTAAATGGACTTATGTCATTACCTATTGATCCGTACAGAAAAGCCCGATAGTGATTGGTTGACGTGGGTAGTCTCAAAGCCCAATGTTGTTATTGGACAATAAGCCCAATGGTGATATTGATTGCAGAAGTAACGGAGCTTCATATCACCAGGTGGGCTACGCTCATGATTAGGTGTCTTGACACTCTCCACCGTGGCAGGTTCCGAACCATGAAAAAAGCATGAAAAAAAAACATTAATACCAATCAAGATGTGATCATGCTCAATTCTTTTTCAGAATATTAGCCTTTATGCTTACAAAACTACTGTAAGTGCTCAGCTTCAATGGACTAACTCTATGTGATTTTTGATAAATTAGCGACCAATGACTAAGAACACAACATTTCCTACCCTTTAATAAATTAGTATCAACACCAAACTTTTTCGAAAAACATGGCAATGTGAGACTAAAGAGAGAGAGAGATGTTAACCTCCGACACGTTTGGTGTCCCATGTTATGACCAGCAGCCATGCTCAAGCATTTATTTTCATTGTCAGGATCATACTGAACCTGCAAACACACATCATAAAAAGTGGCGTGAAGATTGATGAACAACAAAGTGGAAACAGAGGAACTGAACAGAAAAAAGATAAGAAAAAAAGACACTGACCTTCTCGCCAATAGCTTATGAAGCAAGAGTATGTAATTTACCCAGAAAGCTGGAAGGGCGCACAAACCTGTATACCATATAAGAATAAAAGACAAATCCTGGTTGATCAGAAGGAGCAGTAAAGGGATCAAAATTATTATTAAAAGCCTGTTTCACTACCTGCTTAAACGTAACAATGGGGTAAAGAGGAGTGCTCATTGCATCAAAGGGATCAAATTTATTATCCAATTTCATCAGTAACGTAGAGACGCTAGCCTCTTGTTTGATATTAACAGCTGCAAACAAAAGAACATGGAACACCCTAAACAAAAACTACAAACTCTTTATTTGATCATCATAAGTAAATTAAGAAAAATGAAAAATGAAAAAAGAGAGACGCTTATGTAACCAAATGAATGACCATGGTGGTAGAGCCGACATTCCAAATGTTGTTACCATCTGCCAAAAAGTAAAATAACCAAACAGTCTGTATTTAAAAAACTTAATCCATAAAGCACGCAATGCATAGGTGATCTGATGATTGGAGTTGAATTGGCCTTCTTTAATAAGTACAAATGAGCTACATGAGTTTACTTAGAATGATCCCTTCTTTAATAAATTAGTATCAATGACAAACCTTTTCGAAAAAGCATGGTTCTGTGAGTGAAAAGAGAGAGAGATGTTAACCTCCAGGACGTTTGGTGTCCCATGTTATGACCAGAAGCCATGCTCAAGCCTAACTTTCCATGATCTGATTTGGATTGACATTTTCAGAGCAACTTCAAACCCTGGTTCATCAATCGCAAAAGAGTATCCCGAGTACTCCATATCTGTATAGGCATAAACCTCGCCACCATACATATTAACAAATTCTCGAAACTACAAAACAGATGCAAAAAAAAAAGAAACAAAAGCATTAATAGATAATAAACAGATAAACTGGAAAGAAAATCAAACTTTTTAAAACAAAAACTAACCTCATTCACTCCGCGATTTTCATGTGTTCCATTGAACAGCATATGCTCAATCAAGTGAGCAAGACTCATCATGTCCACAGGATCGTGAAAGCTTCCATACTTTACAGTCATAGCAGAAGATGCGTAGGATACAGAGGGGTCCGAGATGAGAAGAACACTGAGTCCATTCTCTAGTAGCATGGACTTGTAACTTTTTTGGCTTTTATCAGGATGTTCCCCTGTATCTCTCTTTCTGCGTGAATCCAGTCAGCTGAACCATGAAAAAAGCATGAACCCACCTGAAGTTTCCAGAAAAAAATCAAAGGAGTATGTAATTTACCCAGGAGTAGACCTAAATCTTGGTAGAAGAGGTCGTGCTTCTTGCGAACGTTCCGTAAGTCTCCGATTCGAGATCTGCTTCTTCTTCTATCTTATAGGAAGCTTGGTCTATGAAACAGTTGTCGCAGAGTTTCATCTCACCAAACCCTTCAGAGAGAAACACCAGAAGAGTCAGAAAGCTGCAATCATTACCAAGATTGGTGAAGACCAAAAGCTTAAAGGGCTTACTTACATGCAACGAAGGATGCTGGGTTCGAAGATCTTGCGTCGGAGAAAATAATGTAAGCCTCTCAGGAAGAATAACATGGGTGATTCAATCCAAATCAGATCGATCAGAGAGAAACACTGAAGCTCTGGATGAAGTTAATTTAAGGGAAGCGAGACAGTCAATTTCCTGTCAATTTCGTCGATAAAATAATATAATGCAATTGACTTTATTCTAAATCAATGGCAATGAACGTAATTTGTCTAGAGAGAGATGGGCAATTTTAAAGAGCTTGAGGAGCTCTATCTATCTGACACGTTAGCCATAATGGCAACCATGTAAATATAGTTTCATTTAAAGGTTACTTTTTCAATCTGCTTCTGTATTAATAAAAAGAGGATGATCTTCACATGGATTATATGGTTTCTTTCCAAAATTAATAAAATGTGATGTTAGAAAAAAAAACTAACATTTGTTATATTTTTTATTTTTAATATAATATGGTTAATAGTTTAATTTATATATCAACATCTTCTATATATTATTTCCTATATTGTTTTCATACACAATATTGGAAAATATTGTGTAGATTCTCTAACAAAAAAATTCAAAAAAATATTATGTTGTTTCTCTAACGTTTTTCTTTTTTAAAACATTTTTAAAAATGTATATTAAGAGTTGATGAATAATTAAGATTTGGAAATTAAGTAAATTTATATATACATAATTAAGTATATTTTTCCAAAAACTTAAATAAACGTGTATTGTTCAAATTATAATCTCATTTCAGTGCATTTTCCCAAATTTCCCCTATTATTTATGTGTAGACTTTCGATAAGAATTCTAAATCATTTTGTCCTTACTTTTATAATAAAGATACAATAAACCTCAAAAATCTATAATAATTACATTGTACATAAAAATTTGATGATGGAACAGGTCTATAGTTTTCTGGTACGCTTAACAAAAACAAGTAGATGAATGTTAAAATTACTTTTACCTTTCAAATGAAAAATAAATAAAAATTTAAAATATTTATTAATTTTTTTGAAAAAAAAATTGTTGTTTATCACATGCTTATCCGACTGTAGGACCGATTTTCCCTAGTATTTTATATTTTCATGTGTTTAAAATGATATTTTAGCATATATCATTTTAGTATTTTACGAGATTTTATAAATTAATATATTGTTAGTTATTGATAATTTTTTTATAAACTATAAATAAATATAAAAACTCGCACAGTTGTGCAGGTCAAGATCTACTAGCATTTAAAGGTCAAGATCTACTAGCATTTAAAGAACAAATTCTAAATGCTGACTAAGTAAACTTATATTAATTGTGCAGCACAACCCTCGTGCAAATTGATTATTTATTATACGTTGGCTAACTAATTAGTCGTCCAGCTAACACTGACCAACTTTTTTGCAATATAGAAATACTGATTCTTCTGCAATATAGGAATACTGATTAGGGGTGGACCCACTTGAAGAGGTGTGGGGTCACCTGACACCACAAAAATTTGATAAAAATTAGTTTTGTATAAGAAAACATCAAAGATTCAGTAGCAAAAATGGTAAAATATTGATAATGACACCACACAACCCGGGTTCGATGCCCACATTTGACCCTTTTAATTGTTTTTGACACCAGTCTGTTTTACTACTCCTGGGTCCAGCACTGATACATATTCTATGACGTTATACACAATCAGGGGAGAAGCCAATAGGACTCAGGGTGCACATGCACCCATGATAATATGGATATCAAAACGTTTATCTAACACTATTAAAAGTGCTAAATAAAAGCTTCTTACACTGTCCACATGGACAAATATATTTAACCAATCAAAAACTGTTATTTGGTCACGTCACACCGTCTATTAATCGATAGTAGATTAATAATGGGTCAACTTCTGTGGGCTGCTCATCTATGTCAACCGGCCCATTGTTAATGAAGTCATCGTCGTCTCTGTCAATTCCTCTGAATCGATTCGACTGCAAATCGGCGTTTCTCTTATATAAATCATCATCCACTCCCATTCCATTCATTCAATAACGTTCCTTAATCCATCTTAATTAGATGCATCCTTCCACCTCCATGTGTTTCCTCTCATATATAAATCCTTTTGTATCAATTCAGTTCAATCCAAATTCTATATCCTCCATACGACAACATTGATCGACAACAGTGATATCCGCTCATGCTTCCCGGAAATCTCAAGTTGTCCTCATCGATGAACAGGTATGTGTCCTCTTGGTCCATTTTCATGTTTCCTTCCATCTGTCTCTACCGTAATCTCCTTAACCAGTTTCCGTTTTTCTTCTGTGATGCGAGGCTTCATCTCATCTAATCGTGCTACACTATACGAGCCTCCAGAAGCTAATTACAGCCTTCAGAATTTCTTCGCAACCTTAATGTACTGGTGAGTGTTTGTGGCTGCAAAAGTTTCCTGCTTCGCAATCATATATATGTTTTCAGTCTCTCTTTTTGCTTTGTATTTGGTAATTTGCCANGTTTTTCTTCTGTGATGCGAGGCTTCATCTCATCTAATCGTGCTACACTATACGAGCCTCCAGAAGCTAATTACAGCCTTCAGAATTTCTTCGCAACCTTAATGTACTGGTGAGTGTTTGTGGCTGCAAAAGTTTCCTGCTTCGCAATCATATATATGTTTTCAGTCTCTCTTTTTGCTTTGTATTTGGTAATTTGCCAAAGGAATCTTGAGTGACACTCTTGATCATATTTGTTTTGCTTATTGTTGCAAGTTGAATTGTAATCCAGAGATTGCTAAGCTGGTGAATGAGGAGGTCATAACTAAGGCTGAGGCAATGACTATTGGTGAAATGAAATGTGAAAAACAAAAAAGATTGCAGTAAGTTCTGTTTCATAGAGTTGGTTTCTTAATTTCCAAATTAATACTCTTTTCTCGAGTCTCTTGCGTTTCTGTAGACTGTCTATCGATACTTGAGTGTTTATGTTCAAACTGTAGGCCAGGCACCAAAAAGTTGGAGAGAAGCCTCTTCTGTCTGTTTCAACATTTGTCCAGGTACTTCTTCTTTGACCAACTAAAGAGTGTCTAATCCACTGCATAGCTTCTGTATCAGATTTGAGAAGCTAGCTGCTTGACCTTTTGTTACATGATCGCGTGGCATAACTCATACACGTAGCTTTTCTCCGTAACATCTTCTTTTCTACATTTCTTTGGGTTTTGTAAGATTTTGAAATGTGGTTGTTTCTGAAGACTTCAAACTTCTAAGTTCATTTGGTTGACTATTTATAAGGCAGATTGCATTTACACGAGTACTATTTTGCAGGCAGATCGCATTTACAGTGCTTCTTGCGGTTCCAGCTCTGTTGTATGCTATTAATAACTACCTCAAGTTCACAATGCAGGTGTGTTCTTTTCTCATTTTGGCATACGTAGGTCTATTGTCTGAGGGGTTGGCTTTATGAGAATTGCATGTGACATGCCAATTGTCTATCTTTCTTTTGTTCATGTATCTTTAATTTCATACAATACTGAAAGTTTCTGCTGTTCCAGCTATATTTCAACCCTGCTACTGTGAAGATGCTTAGCAATCTAAAGGTTCTGGTCATTGCTCCTCTGTTGAAGATGGTAATGAAGCGGCGGTTTTCCATCATTCAGGTGAGGTTCAATTATTCTTATTTATTTTATGTGTATGACATGTTTTCAGTATCAGACATTATTATTGTGGAATATTGTGTGTAGCCTTCCCTTCATTACCTCTTATTCTCGATTGGATTTGTATGTTTTATAATAATATATATCTGCTCAAATCGTGTTTATCTTTAATTTTGGTTGTGGGAGGGACTTGCTCTGTTGCTGATAGGGATTAGCGTAAATCAGCTGCGTTCTCTTCCTGAAGGTGCTACTGCCATTGGAATTCCTCTTGCTACTGGTGCATACATATGTACTGTTATCTTTGTAAGTTTCTTCATCTCCTGCTTATTTTTGCTCATCTTGAAGTTGAAGGTATAAAGTGGTTCTGTGCACATAATCTACTCTCTCATGCCCCGCCGTTGATGCATTATGGGAAAGTTCATATTTTTTTTGTCTATAACTGTTACAAAAGTTGTTTCTACCTCTTACAGTCCCACAGGTGAAACCCACATTTGTTGCAACTGCTCCTGCTCTCTGCAAATGTTTTTTTCTGCCTCTTCCAATGGATGTTAAGACCTTGCTGTTACGGGAAATGGTGGCTCAAGTAACAGTGGCAAAGCACATGAAGTCTAACGTGTTACACATGGCAAATAGTGCATCAATCGCTCATCCCATAAATTGGACGTCAGAGTTTCTGTTTCACTTTCCTTCCAGTTCTTAAGTTGTGTTCTGTTATTGCTCTATAAGAGGTCCTTTTCTTAATTATTTTGACATAGCTCAAGTTAGACTTGGTCTTTTTATTACTTTCTCTGATTGTGTGGTTTTAATTGTTTGCTCATTGTTAGCTCGCACACTTTGACACAACCAAGAAGAAGATGATGAAAGTTGTCATTCTGGATCCTATCGAGGACTCAACAGAGCCAAAAATAGAGAAAACTGATTCATTGCTTGGTATGTTGACGAGTTTATGTCCCGTGAAACTTTGACTATTTCTTTTCAATGGTGTACATACATTACTTTGTCTTTATTTATTTTGACTGCAGGTTTTTCATGTTTTCTCATTTTCCTTCATGTTCAGGTTGGAACAAAATAACTTTCAATTTCCGTACAAAGTTGTCCAGTCTAAAGACAATGGTTTGGGAGAATGTTCTACTTGATCATGAGCTGATGAGGTACGTTGTCTGTAATTTGCCATAGTAGCGGAATCCTAACACTTATAGTTAGGTATAG